TGTGTGTGTGTGTGTGTGTGTGTGTGTTTTACCCGCCTCTGCTGGCGCGCGGGCTGGCACTTTTTTATGTCGGACATAATGGCAGGGCTTTTGGACATAGCAGCAGGGCGGCTTTTGCCTCTAGCGCCGGGGCGGCAGGACGGCTTTGGTTCCATCCAGCACTGATTCTTTGAATTTTTCCATAGGTCCTCTCTGCTCTGTTGGTCTAAGGAAGTTTTTTCTCTAATGGCGGACATAGTGCCGAAGCGGCCAAAAGCCTCTTTCTTGACAGCGGGCAAAAGCCGCTTTCAAGAAAGAGGCTTTTGGCCGCTGCTGCGCTATGCCTGCCATAGACGCGGGATGCGTCCCGCCTCTATTGGCGGACATAGCAGCAGGGCTTTTGGACGTCCAAATGCCTCTTTCTTGACAGCAGGCAAAAGCCACTTTCAAGAAAGAGGCTTTTGGCCGCTCCGGTGCTATGTCCGCCATAGAGGTGGGATGCATCCCACCTCTAATGGCGGACATAGTGCTGGGGCTTTTGGACATCCAAAAGCCCTGCCACTGAGTCCGCAATAGAGGCATCCCGCATCTATGGCGGACACAGCGGTGGGGTGTCTGAAAGCAGCGGAGGGTGAGGGAGGGTCCCGCAGAACACCACTGAACCAGGAGTGCTGCTGTGCGGCTGCTGGGCTCGCTCCTTCTGCGGGCGGTGGCGGCATCTGCGTTCCGCTTGGGCCAGGCAACCACGATGTCGGAGGTGCAGCTGAGCCCCCGTGGGGAAGCAAGCGAGGAGGCACTGCTGGGCTTCATCTGCCGCCTGCAGGACACCAGCAGCTTTGGGCCGGGGGGCTCCGGCAAGCGCCCCCCCAAACTGGCCCAGATCGGATGCAGCAAGTGCGGTAAGAGAGGAGATGTCCCCCCCCATAATGGCCCTTCTGCAACTTTGCCAGCAGGGCAGGGGGCTTGAGACTGCCCCCGTCCTCTCCTCCTGCAGGACGCCTCTTGCCGCTGTGTCCGACATAGGGCGGCTTTTGCCCCCTTGCCTCACCAGCCATAAACCTCACCGCACGTCACTGCTGACTACAATGATATTTCCAATTTTCTCTTCATGTCTCCACTTAGCAGTGGATCCTCCCTCCTTATACTGAACTATATTAATATATGTCATCTTAATGCAAGCAAACCAGTCTTTTGCAATCATAACCACAATAAAGCCTTATAGTGAAACTAAGAATTTCATAGTAAAATTCTAGTACTGGAATTGTATTTTGTGGCAGTACAGTACTTTATCTTCTAGATAAACTATTCAATTTTACTTCTGTTTGACTTTCTAAAATGAACACAATATAAAACTCCATGTTGGTTTCCACCAAGAAATCAGTGTAAATTTCACTTAAATATGTATTTCAGGAGTCCTTGCTTCTAGAAGCCTTAGACAACCTTAAGTACTCAATGGGACCATTACTCAGCACAGTTTAATTCAAATGTCCGTAATCTATTTTTTAACTTCTGTATGCATTGACTTCAGTGTAGAAATCTTAATTTTAACGTAGTTCCTTTTTCTTGTGATTGATTTGTTGACATCTGGCTTGATAAAAAGGTTTGAATTGCTTGTAAAGCTATCTTAGGGTATTTCCAGTGGCCTAGGCTAGCTCTCAAAGGTTTTTCATATGGCTAATTGCTTTTCATGATACTGTATTATAGTTTCTATAATACTTAATAGACCCTAGATGGCACCAAAGTCCTACAGACTAGAACAAAAGATAAGAAATATAGTTTAAACTCTTTAAATTTAAGAGGTCTTTAAGACAATTAATACTATGTTTTAGTCCTATTATTTAATAAAACCTCAAATATATTGATAATTATTTAATTATTTTGATTTTTGTTTAATTTTTATATGTACATATTTTAAAATGCTCAAACCAAAATAAAACATGCTATCATATCATAAATGTAGACAGTACCAAAATAGAAGAATTAGTAATCATATATAAATTCTGTATGTCATCTATTTCTGCACCTTGGCAAATTAAGATGTGTAGCTGGAAATTCCGGGAGTTAAAATCCACACATCTTAAATTTGACAAGATTGAAAATTACTGATATAGAGCAACAAGGCAAGCAACCTTTGAAGCCATGTTTAGCACTTCGGGGTAGGATTCTTATTTATTTATTTATTTTGCTTTTAAGGAAATTTGTAAGAATTACAGGTCAAAACAATTTTCAGTTTTTGTTTGCACAACTTGAAAATCACTTGTTTTGATGTCCAGTTTGATAGTTTCATCTGGTGACTGCAAAACTGAATTGCTTTGAGGACTTAAACTGTAATTCTAGAGCCTGACTACTTGCATCATTCTTTTTCCAATCTAAAACCAGTTTAGGACCATGAATATGCAATATTTAATTTTACTTTATATTTTCCCCATACCTTTCTAATGTCACTGTATTTTACTTTGCTATGCACTGTGCTACGCTATGATATGCTTTAACAAGTGGTAATGTTTTGGCTATATTCTAGTTATATTATGCCAAAGAAGCAAATGAAATGTCCAATCCAATAAAGTCAATTAATAGTTTGTTGCTAAGCAGTCAGTCTTCAGCAAAGTGAGAGAACAAAGGGGTTAATAGTGAATAGCTATGACTCATTTTTTGTTTTATCATTAGTTTGATGTAATCATAAATTCCTTCCTTGTAACCTTGATGTGGAGTCACTTAAAATTTCAATTATACAAATTATAACACTTTTTATGTTTTTATAAACACTTTTTATAAGTATTTTTCTCTGGAGAGAAAAATAATTCATAGTATGATGCTATTTAGTATTTATTTTCAGCCTTCCAAGTAGACCAGACAGGAAACACAATAAGATGGACTAATTCTACTTTATTGTAACACAATACATTACATTAATACATTAAAAGAACCTTGCAAGTCTGAAAGTACACTTCTACCCCACTATCTCTTTTTAACTATCTGATAAGTTTCTTTCTTTGACCATTACTCAGTTACAGGGTCCTCCCACTTTTATTTGGTTGTTCCTAGACAGCATCTC